ACGCTATCCAAGGGTGGCAACGCTGGCTGATGCACCATCTCACCGCGTTGGATACGGTATGATGCAGGGCGACGAACAACGTTCGAGGTTTTTTCCAGCTTCCCTACCCACTCAGGTTGAAAATTCTAAAACTGAACAGTGGATGGTATCGGTGTCTGCGGGGAGATCCCATAATGGTGTACTAGATCCTAAAAACTCCAGCTGCAGTTACCAGCATCTTTTGAAACTAATTAGAGCACATGCCTGAGGAGTCAACAGTTTAAGTTAGTCACGCACTACAGCCGACTGAAATGCCGACGAAACGTTGTCTCCCTCCGAGTGTCACAGACCTGGAACTCCATCCCAAGGTTTGTTGTTAATTTCCCCGCCTTATCGGCAATTAAAAACGTTTTTACAATACTGACACATTTGCACAATGTGCTACAGCCCATGATCATCAGTTGTTGGCATGAGTGTGAAACAAACAGGCAAGAATACCCCAAATTCCTTGGTGAAGCTTGTATTTTGCACGTTATTTTACGCACCCTAATTTTAGTTTGTAATTTTCACCAGAACTATTCTACGAGACTTGTCAGGTACTTGTTTTTATACCCGTTATAAACCATTGCTCCATTCAATAAACGTCCGTCTAGGCTATTCGATTGTCTGGTGTCATTTATTTACGATTAACCGCCTAGCTGCTTTCCTGGTTAATAGACCACTGGGGATCACGCTATATGCCGTGAAGCAAAATAAATCAGACTTCCGGTATGGCCCGATGACCAGAAGCTAGCTGATGTATGAAACAAATTACAACTGTAACGCGTTTGTAGAATCAGTAGCTAATAGGTATAAGAGCTTGCTCTTATAACATCAACTCGAAATTCTGTGTATGAACAAACTGTTCAGATCATAGAAAGTGACTTTTGTAAACACCGAAGGATAGGCCGATTGAGCTGTAGGCTATACTGCCGTTGAAAGTTCAGCTTATACATCCTAAATGCTGTAGGAAAATCCACCGATTTGAGATGTGGTAATCGACCGCTCAATCAATCCGTGGGCATGTCATGTGGTCAGATGCTTGCCAGAACAGGTTTGTAATTTTGTTAAGGCTTTCATCTCAGTAGTTCACAAGCTACATAGCACAGCCTAGTCCGGAAAAGCACCAGACGCGTTTCACCCCATCGGCGCACGTCAGTGGTGCGCATTTCTTCGGTCCCCTAGTGGGGATCGAACCCATGATCCCTAGAGGTAGATGCCAAATAGCCAGCAGCTTAAGCCACTGAACCATGGGTTTGTGGTTGCCGAATTCGTACACTAGGTTCGCCTATGGCACATGCTTAACGACTGAGATGGGTTGACCAAATTTATCGAAGGCACTAAAAGTGATGATAGACTGGCTTTTCTGTGTCGAGAGTGGGTAGCCTAGTATTCACATTTGTGTTTCTGCTTCTGATGCAGGTAGTACCACCTTAGAAACAAAGAGAGGAAGCAGCGGATTCAAAAGCTTTCACCAAAGTGGCTGCATTGCGCAGGAAGCCACAAAGACTGCAGCAATCACTATTGAGCCATCAAGAAACCATATTTGTTTACCCTATTTGCTCATTGACATCCCACTCAAGTTTCTGGACGGCTGGTTTTAACAGCACTCGCTTTCAAACCTCATCCGGTAGTGTACAGTTGCGGGTAAAGCTGTTCCACTGTAAATAGCTCCCAAGTTATATTCCCGGAACCATCGTATTCGATCTCTTTACGTCACTTCACTCGTACAAATTGAGTTCATCAGCTTGAGTGCGTGACCTGCCACCCCATAGTAAGAATAACACATTACTACTCATTATCACCAAAGGTATTTTGCCAGTGGGATATTGAGCGTTATTTTCCAGACGTTAAGGACAACATATGTTACAAGTGCGTTAAACCGTGCCGGAATAAGGTCATACAGAAATAGCCCCATGGCTATTACAACTGCTACTTTTACCGTTGGCTTCAGTAGGGGAACGGTATCACCGCTAATCTGCTAACGTCACGTTTCCATGGTAGGCTGGAACACTCTGGAGCTCAGTTTGGACTTAGCTATCCACGGCTCCATTAAACTATCGCTTTACCCAGACCTGGTTAACACCACTTAACTAGAACTGCGAAGTAAATAGGGTTGTGAGTTGGTATTTACATGTTGCCATGGGTGCAGGTTAGAAATCGATGATGACAGCAAGTTCCCGTAGACTCCGGCTACAGGAAACGAACACATAGTTCACCTAATTGGAAAAAGCATCCACGCTATTTGTCGAATACGCAACTCAGTCATCTAGAATGAAGAGTAACCAGCTAGCCTAAGTGTTTGCCTTGATCAAACTAAGTGATAGTGTCGGAAACATCGGGAACTTCAAGTAGACTACACAAACAGAACAGCGTGACAGGAGTGTAGATTGCCCAGAAAGCTGGGATAATTACGTAACCAAACGAAACTACTGTAATCAACTGCTCGAAAAGAACCAAGTAGCGCATCAGCAGAACATGACACAAACATTCAGCGCAAATCACAAACTGCTGTATAAGCAAGTCAATGGTCTACGGAGTTCCACCACTCAGGACGGTAGATGGCCCAACACGAACAGCTACGGGAACAGCAAACACACTGCGGATGCAATATGCCCCAACCTTCCAGATGGTATTACCATCAGGAGATCCTCCAGCTTCCATCACCCAGCCGCCGGGACTCACACATATCTCCTTTACTACCGAAGATGCCTTGCAGAAACTAACCATTCTATGCAAGCACAAATCCTCGGGTGTCGATACTATATGCCCACAGGCGCTGTGAGCAACAAAAAGCCAACTGGCAGAGCCACTGATTCAGTTCTTCCAGCGCTCCTGAGACAAGAACCAAGTTCCTTTCATGTGGAAGCTTGGGATAATAGTACCCATTCACAAAGGTGGGAGCAGAACCAAGGCCTCAAAGTACCGCCCATTTTCCCTTCTTCCTATGCTGTCTAAGGTGATGGAATCCATCATCGCCGATGCGCTGGTGGTCTATTTGGAAAGCGCTAACATTATTATTTCTGAGCAACACGGCTTCCGTCGAAACCGGTCCTACACAACGAATTTGGTAATAGCACGAATTACCTGAACCCAGTCAGCTGACGCTGGAGAGGATGTTGATGTGACCTACTTGGATTTCTTGAAAGCATTCGACCATCTAGATCATCGGATACTCCTTTCCAAGCTACAACATTACGGAATCGGCGACCCCCTTCTAAGCTGCATCGCCAACTATCTTCTTCAGCAGTAATAGGTGGTCTGAGTTCGGAGCTCCTTCTCTGACCCCATACAAGTGGAATGTGGTGTGTCTCAAGGCTCGATGCTAGGTGCCCGATAGTTTTGGTAATTATCAATGACCTCACACAGACAAGTACATCTAACTTCCTGCTGTTTGCCGATGAGCACAAGATTTGGTGCAAGGTTAAGGGAAATACTGACCAGCAGCTGCTTCAGAGTGATATAGACACTACACATCAGTGATCCATCTAAATTGCAATGCAATTCAATGTGAGTAAATACATGGTGCTATCCACACAACACCAGTACAACCACTGTTACAGGCTCGGAACGCACATGCTGCAACCAGCTGCCACTGAACCTGATTTGGGTGTATTGGTTCAGCATGATCTGGGTTATTCCAGGCAATCCGCGAAAGTCTCCAAAACTGGTAACCAACAAGTGGGCCGGTTACGACGGTCGTTCGGACAAATAGATCTCTCTATTTTCCGGCAGATGCTTAGTGTGTATGTACGTCCTCATGTTGCATATGCAATTCAAGCCTGGCACCCACACCTAAAACACGAGCTTAGTGCATTGGAGCAGCCTCAACTTCGAGCATCCAAGTACTTTATTGGAATGCTCCATCTTCCATACGATTAGAGGCTGGAACGATTGGGGTATCCAGCTGACCTTACCGCCGCTTACGAGTGATTTCATAATGGTGCACTTACTTCTGCGCGATCCTCATCATGTGTGTTGCTCTGCACTGCAACTCAGCAGTGGTACTAACTTGAGAGGTCACTCACTAAAACTGGCAGAACAGTACAGCCGTCTAGATTGCCGCAGGAATTTCCTTTCCGACCGAGTGTGTCAACCGTGGAATGCTCTTCCAGAATCGGTTACTTCTGCACCATCACTATCCATATATAAAAGACGTTTGTATGACTCAATTACCCACCTACCCTTTGTTACCTAGTACTACATCTCCATCACACACCTGGGATATCCTTTGGTTTTATTTGCCGTTACATGTTTGTGCTGTGATACTACACCGATCGCAGGACTACAGAGAAACAATCGATAAGTCCCTCTTTTAAAGGTGAATAACCCATTGCTATTTTATTTTCGATAACCCTGCAAAACCACCCAACGGGACATGTAAAGCATTGCTTCTTAACCCGTATAAACTCATTGTGGTGTGTGTTGATGATTGGTTCAAAGGTAAGCAACCAGCACCTTGACTGAAACAAAAATGGACATTTCGGCGACTTACTTCGAACAATGATTGAAATAAAGTGATAACGAGAGAGTAACGGAATAGTATGGAAGAAGGTCTAATAAGGCAGGAAATCGACAAGTGAGTCGGATTTAGGGTGTAACCCCCAGAGATGATTTGAGAAGATGAAAATAGTTATTATAAGTTAACTGAGGAAGATTACATGCTGGAAATCACCGATCCACATGGCTGATCCACTTGCATGAAATATTGCACCACAAATTATGCGACGCCTCACAGACATGGAGTCTAACTGAGAATGGTACAGATGCGATACGAGGTGCGAGCGTGAGTTATAGGCTGAACGAACTAACTTCGGCTTTTAGTGCAGTGGTACCGTTATGAGGGTTCACTGATCCATTAGTACCAGTGTACCAGTACCAGTGTACGGAATCCCGTCCCTAGATCGAGAGGCAGCTTTCAATGACGCGGAACTAGTGTATGAATAAAAATCAGCATTAAGCTTGGAATTAAAACGTTGATACAGTAATGATTGCTGTATATTTTGTTTTGTGTACAAAACATTTTCATCACGGCGTGGAGAAAAGAGGACAGAACAAAACACGGACTAAACCAAGTGGAAGTGAGCGAAAACAATATAGCTGCTCTTGTGAATGCGTGGATTTTTGCAAGATGTTTAACAGAGATTTGAAAACAAACACCTTAGCACGACATAAAAGAGTACAGTCACCCCGCGACTAGCGCTGGGACAAACCGGGTTCCGTCCATCGGTGCAAAGTTGTCTATTGGGACGGATGATAATTTGGGCGCCGTAAATAGACATATCCAGATGTTACCTAGTTTACATAGAGAAAATCACGAAACAAGAACGTTACAGATTTGTGCAATTCTTGCCGACACATGTGTGAATGCACTACCAGATATGCATTGAGGAATGGAAGGAGATGTGTATCAATTGCCCCTTCGCCGATCGAAATGACCGATGTGCAAATTTGGCACGATTCCAACAGTCATCTTAAGGTATAACCTATTTCGGGCTTCATGAAACGTTTAATTTATCGAGAACATACAAGGACAAAGATATGGTTACCAGATGTATGATACAGGAAAAGGGGTGTAGCGCACGAAAATCAGTGAATCTAGTGAAATGAACTTGAAAGTTCTTTTTCACTCGTTGCTCCTATGTAAGTGGAGAAAAAGGACTTTTATGTCACAACAGGCAGCTGTGTACTTAGACGGACCTGCCAGTCATGGGTACACTGGGTTTTTTCGATAGTGTGTTCGGCTGAATCTTCGACTTTGACTCGTAAGATTGAGGATAAAGGGTACACGACCGAGGTAGACATGAATCACCATCTTCCAATTGTGTACTGCCTTGGGGAGAACAATCTGAGGTTTTACTGGAGGTTGACTCACTTTTGATGGGCTGTAAAATGGTCATGTCGGGAGTCAGTGGACGACTTTTCCCGCCCATTGAGCGGGATGTATATTCACTAAGCAATGCAAACCTTTTGTTGGCTGGTATGAAATCGCAGTCCATCGAATGTATGAGGTCATTTGCTCCTGGGCTGCATGAACGAAACGGGTCACTACACGAAACCGGAGAGGTGAGAACAGATCTAGACCTCTTCATTGTGGACCAGGGGATGATCTCGGAGGATGCCCGCTTTCTCAACCCGCACAAGTAACCGGTTTGCTCTATGCCGTTTAGATTCATCGACGACTCCGTCAATGTATGTGACTTCGAATGACAGAAAATATGGTCATCGGTTGCGGACGAAATTGATTTGGCATCAATGCCACTGTCGGATTCCCTTGCTTCAAATGCCGAACTTTGTGTATGACTGAGAGCAGAATCGAGACTATATGTGGAACCACTGAAAAAACCTGAGTTTGCTCCAGAAACTGGAGTGATGGCCGAATTCGACGGGCTTTCTTCTGGAGCTGGCGATGGGGACGAAGAATTGGACAAACCCCAGTTCGTCAGGGACTTAGTATCATCTCCCAACCGTGAAGAGAGCACGTCGCAGGTAGAACGACCAATGGGGACTGCACCATGTGCCTCCGTGTGACCATCGAGGTTAGTATCCACTTCATGTACGCTGCGCTCATCGTTAATTGCAGGAGCTGTCCAATCTGTTAAAAAACGTGCTGAGCTTTTTATATCCTGTCTTTGAATACGCTGGGTTTGGAGATCGACAGGTTGTTGAGGTCTTGGAAGTTTCTGTAAGCAGCGATAGGATTGAGAGATAAGAACATGCGATTATGAACTGTGTGTATCCAACTCTTACGAACGAAAAGCGCCCTAGGGCAGGCCTATTGGTGTGCAGGAAGTAAAAACTAAGTTGTGCAGATTGCTTTCGAATGAGACGTAAAGCAGGGTGGTCCGCAAATAATGTACTAGAGTGACAATTTTTTTCAAAATTATGCCAAGTTATGAGGCAGCTTCAAACTTTCTGCAATAAATGCAACTGGTATTAGGATAGCCGAGATTTTCAAGCCCTGACTCTGGTCTTTGGAAACGACATTATGTTCATAAAGACCCATACATGAGTATACATAAAAGTTAACCTGAAAGTGTGGGGTATCTGTTCGACTTAGTTGAGGCAGTTGTATTCAAATGACAAAATGGAAAAAGGATATGCAGAGTAAATTCACATTCGCCTGGATCTGCTACTTATTAGTCAAGCAACGATTGCCAAGCAGTGTCTTAGGAGTATGCAATTGTATATCGTCGGTTGGAAGTCAGATTAAATGACGCGTATAACTGAAGTAGCTGGAAATCGGCTCACTAATTTCCAGATTAAAACAGTTTGCCACAAACAAAAAGTTTACGAATTGTAGGAGACAGAACAGAGTTATTGTGGGATTAACCAATGTAGTGTAGCATTCCAACCAAACAGAGCACTTGGAATCTGTAAGAAACGGAATTATCGGTAGCTATACCAGAATGTTGAAGTCCCGGATCCGAAATTCCGTGTCAGTTAAGCTGCATGAAGTCTGACTAATGTTCAACATGCAGGAAATTGCTAGAATAGTTTAAATAAACTTCGGTCTGTAAAAGGGCGATGGCTAAGTAGCGTATGCTGAATTTCGAAGTAGATACTACACCTTTTCTCAGCCAGTTACATCCACAGTGCTTTCAAGTTTTCCATTAAGGAAATAGTTTTCATCCATGGAGCACTCAAGATGGTCCTTAACGTTTACAAATTATGTTAAATAGCTTCAAACGCTTCTAAAATTGTTACAGTTGGTTGAGTGATCAATCCCAAATCTGCCGATAGTATATGAGATAACTACACAGTTTGATGCTTTTGCCTTATTTGGGAACGGCCACTCAACGAACAGCAGCATTTAGGGGCATTTGTGACCTTTGGATGCCATCTGATAGCGCTAAAGATCATCCTGAGAGATATTTGGAAAGACATGACTTCGCTAAGGAGGAATTTGAAGTCGCTAGGGACGTATTTGACTGAGAAAAGGTATAGTGGTATTTTCCACATGACCAGTCAACATAATATGCGACAGTCCATCAGGCAAACTGTCACTCATTTGAGGCACCGTATATGTTTAGTAGCAACAAAGCGTTACTTGTAATAACATTCCATCAACGTGTAGGTACTTACATCATTCACTTGATGCTTTGATAAATGGTACCAATCGAACGCACCGCGATGATCCTGAGCATTTGTTATCTTCGCCTTTTCCAAGCATAAGGAACCGTGTTGAGCAGTACTCTCGGTAGCATTCATGACGCTGTTTTCTCTACTCGTTGTGTAATTATGTGATTCCGTATTGGTTAATTTTTTCATCTCTTTAGCGTGATATCGGTGTCTCGCTCGAAATTGGGACGCTTCATTAGAATCATGCTGGTCTGGGTGAATTCCCAAATAAGAGACACCAAGTTCTCTTTCAACAATCGGCATACTTGGTGAAACGGAAGAAATAGGCAAAGTGAAGGATAGATCGCGGCCAAAAGCATCAACTCCAACTGGCTCCACTAGCGTTTCGTCACAGTTACTTGCCTTCTCACCGTACTGCGCCATCCAGTTCTTCTTGGGTTTGAAGGAATTATGCGCGGCTGTTCCCGACGTCATCGTAGGAGCATTCGACAAAGAGTCTTTTTCCGACATTTCTTGTTTGTATGATGCTTCTACAAGCTGACTCATTTCTTCAGCGTCTTTAATAGTTCCAGAAAATATAGACGATGTGATCGGTGGGTGATCCAGACCTGATGACATATAAGACTGGATGTAGTGTAGTGCGTTCTGTCGACTATAAGGTGGAGGTTTGGGGATCTCTGAAGATGGGCTATTGGCGCCCGTGCAGTCGGTATGCAGCGGGGAACTCTGCCATAATTGTTGCTTTCTGGCAGCTACCCCCGTTTGGCTATTCTGCTTGAACGTAGAGGAACCATTAGAATAACCAACAGATTTCGAACTTTTCGCGTGAGCTTTGACGCTAGAACAGGCAGATGGCAATTCCAGTATGGATGTTTTCTCGTTGCAGAAAATCCCACGGTGATTCGTAAAACCAGGAAAAGCTGCCAAGGATTTCTCGAAATGTTCTTCTACGGCCAACTCAGCAGCTGCGCGTGCGTTCTCCAACCTGCTTTTGGAGTCCAGAGGTGAAGCGGTGGTTGGAAGTCTTGTGGTCATTGGTCTTGTATCACTCTGGAATTGAAAATTTTGTTGGGCGGTATAAACAGATAGCCATTGTATATGGTTGTTATCAATAAAGTTTGGACGGACCCCTATTGCTGTTGTTGTATCCATGTTAGACCAGAAGTGAACTGCGGTACATCACCATAGGGATTGAGAACTCTTAGTAGAGTAACTGGTGTCTATTGAAATTTCCAAGAGGATAAACTCACATGCAGCCTTCTTTCGATATAAAGAAGGTGTAATAAATGTAGCATAGGCCGCAGTTGCTTCACTGCTTGTAAAAAACTCAATTCAAACTATGGTTAAGTGTCAGTTGTACGAAGAAAATCAAGCTGATCGGGAAAACCTAGTGTTGAGTGAATGCATCAAATTAGCCTTTAGCAGAGTCCGGTGAAGCTGAGGAAGAAATGCGACAGAAGCAAATCGTGGTGTACTGACATGTGGCAAGCGCTGTCTATTTCATTGTGTAACATAGTACGTACCGAGGTCTGACGACCTGTACAAAGTAAACAGATGACAGTGCCACGAAACGATCCACATTGTGTTGTGTCACTGGTGATTATACCGACTGCCAGAACTCCATCCTAGTTGAAGTCTATTTCGACCGGACGAGCGTTCTCTTGATTTTCCGAATTCATGTGGATTGACCAGGATTACTTTGGAAATGTTTTGACTATAATATTCGCGGTCACTTATTGACATTTCACTAATCTTTTCCGTGAAATGCAGATAAGCCCAGTGCGGTGGTGCCTTAGTTATGCTAAGTAAGCCGTTAATTACTAGTGCAAAATAAAATTAACTTGATTTGTTCAGGCATCTGAGTAAATCGCTTGTGACTTCGTGTTCAGAATGACTGACTTCTATTTGCTTCCTGAGAAGTGCTCACAATTTTCACCCACCCATTTTTCTGCAAATGTTCGTGGTCTATTAACATAACTGTCTTCGGATCTGAGACGAGTCACTGAACAGCTATGAAACGGTATGGTCCAATTTTATAAAACAAAAACTATTTCAAACGTTTTAATCGCATGCGGAATGCGGTATTCGGTATGTTTAACGAGCAGCTCTCAAACTGGTTTTACTTGCACTGTGCCTTGGTATGGCGCTGGATTACATCGACATTCGACATCCTCACCTTAATCCATCTGATCATATTTGATTTGCAGTAGCGCCTGCGGCCAAAACATGTGAAGTAATTGCCGAAAAAGTGGTTTTCTGGTGATGGGACATTTAAGGACCATGGCCAAGAATCGAATCGTTCTGCAGAGCATCGTAGTGGTTGGTTTTCCGTAGGTTTATCAAGAGGGTGGATCACCAACAAACTAACTTAACTTGATCTCTTTGCTCTGCAGCTTTGGTTCCCACCGCATCTGTCGAGACCCGTTTATACGCCGGTGTTTATTCAGAACGTAGACATTAGGAGACTGTACAGTTTATATGAAATCGGCTCAGTTTCAATGCGATGAGTAGAAATGGGCTATCTTACAAATTCGAGTGAAACTCATAGACCTGTTGTGGAGGAAATGGTTGTTTTTCCTGAAGTTCAAGGTTTTTCATGTACCATTTCTTACACAATTGAACGTTGCTTCCTGAATCGACTGCGTCAAAAGACGAAACTATGCGAGACTGGGATCAGACAAGGTCACTGGAAAGTGTGCATTGTACCTTTCGGATATGATCTTTTCACTTAAAGCAAGGATAATTAGAACTGTTCAATCTCGAACCCCAAAAAGCGATCAGCTAGCAGACTAAACCTACTTCTCCGCAACAACTTCAACTTCACAGGCCACTTAGCCGTGTACTGCAAACGGCATGTCTGACGATCTGTGGGGAGTGAGCCAAAAGCTATCAGCACATGGCAGGTTTCAGAAGCGCTCCAGTAGTTAATGGCACAGCTAAGCTTAGTAGCACATGGAGCTGAAAACTCATGTCCGATACATGTGGAGGCATTCGTTCACGTAAATATATAAACCTGGTGCTCCAGCTGAGGCGAGTTACAAAGTTGCGCGCGAAAGGATTAGTCAAATGTATGCGCAGAGATCAATACACTTGTGTCGAAGATGCGCGTTCAGACGACTGGAAAGGTTGCCTAGACTGTACAAGTTTGGACTTCAATGAACTGGGTTGTAAACATGACCAAGATCGTAGTGAATAAATGGAATTTTACAGGTTCTATAGATGCCCTTACATAATCTGTAAACTTGTTCCCATACTGTGGAAAAGTGCAAACACCGTGGCTTGTCTGTGTGAGGGAATTTTCAGAAGTAAATAAACGGCGATGACGGAGTCTATCGTAATTTGAAATTAATACGTGAGGCGTAACGTGCGTGTCTTTGAAATGTTTGATTGTGTACGTAATAGAAGGAGCTGCACTAGACACCAGGTTCATTAATGAGCGGATATCAAATGCATCCCAAAGAGTGAAGTATCCCTTAGCGCCGGTTCACAATTTTATACGATCAAAATTAGTTTAAAGACCGCCAAACTAATTGCCGTCAAGCCTGTTTGTGTTAAATGTGACAAACAACAGTCATGCTCTTCAAGGGGTTTTATCATAAAACGCCAGAGATAACTTACTGATACATCGACTTTGAGTCCGCGGAGAGCTTTGAAAAAGTGCTCATCAGCGTCCGCAGTCTGACGGATGATCACTTTGGACCCCGACTCTTGCGTAGCATGCTGTCTACAATCGAACAAGTAAGCTTGATGGCTGCGTTGTTGATGTGTACGAAGATTTCGGAGAAATGTTGCATTTATCATGATCATGCATTATCATTAATGAGAAGTAAGGCGCATTAATAGTCATATGCCTTATGAACGTGGAGTAGCGCCACCAATGAGTGATGGGCACAGCAGACACAGGTTAACTCGACTGTCAGTCACACCATGTAGGTTGGGTAGTCGTCTGACGCTTTGAGCACGCAACGAACGAGAATACTGAGCGCAACAGTATTGTAGATGTGTCCCCTGTCCCAAAGTTGCTACTGACTTAGTTTCCTTGTCTGAAAATTTTGCGGTATGTATGACTCTGCACAAGCTCAACAAAAAAGTGGTTTGCGTTAATGGTAGAACACAATGTGGTTATACGTTGTTTGGCAAAACTCTTCCTGTCACAACTAATTTTGACAGCCTATTGTTTACAGACCAACTAGAGAACACAAGTACAAATGTTGACTAACAGAAAAGGTGAAACAACAAGTAACTTCATAGAGTTGGCGCCATTTAAACTTGGTGGTATGCTTGATAATGTTGCACAACTCAAAGCAGTTTTCAGTCAGGGTGTTCAACCCGAGAACTCACTCTAACGTTGGTTTTCCAGTCATGACATTTCACAGGTGAACAAAGATCGGATCGGGCAAACAACCATCTTAGGGGACAATACCCACGTGGTGTTTCCTGGAGAGAATAGCTCAAGCAACAGTAGAGTCTTCCATGTGCAATTATATCGGGCAAAAGGATTCAGCAAGTTAGGACGTAAATGTCAAACAACAATAAACACGTAGAAGAGTTTGCTTCCCATTCCGATGCGGAATATTATTACCAGTAGCCGGCCGTAAAGCACTGGTACCGTGTTGTTAAATCATACGAATGACTGGCAAGCAGAGGAGCTTTTTCACCATTCTAAGTACTCATCCGATCCAGGCATGAGGGCGTGCGTATTGATGCCAACAACAAACAGGTATCTTGAAGATTTGTTTGACCCTAAAGCCCGTTCTGTTGAACTTCAGAGCACAATAGTCACTAACCACGATCTCTGTACACACATAGCTTCACCGACATGTAGTGCATATTGATCAACCGAGCAGCAGTGTAGTGCCAGCTGGGGGCGAAGATCAATTACTCAGCCGGTACACCCACTCAGGGTCAATAATACAAGAGCCGTACGCCTTACTTACATGAATCACACAGTATGCTTTAGCGACAGCATGTTGGAGCATGATGTCTGGCTGTGTCCTAGTTTCGCTACCTGGATGAGCGCACTCCACTCAAACGATTAGAAGAAGAATCATAGCTATAAATGCGATACTGGGCACGCTTTAGCACTTCAAACGATACCCGGCTAACTTATGCCTTATTGGAACCGACTTGGAAATCTTGGGAAATCTATGTGTTAAGCCTGGGGCAGACCACCTCCATCGTTCTAATTAAGTTGAAAAATGCGTGTAGCGTTGAATCATGGTACCAGACCGCTATCCACAGTCAAACTAAGTGATAGGATCTTTCTCTGAGTAACAGCTAGCGTTCTGTGGAAAAGTGACTATCGAATTGAATACTAAGCATCCAAGCCAGATACTAAAAATGTATTCAGGCAACCGTTCTATAAAGTAGACGGTGCTTCGAAAAACCAACGTACAATTCACAGACCACAATGAACAAGTTATATCATATCATAGTTTATCACTTTCATAGTACTGAAAAAGTTGGTAGTAAAAGCACGCATAGGTATGAATACACACCACTCACATGTACATAAGACACGTTTCGAGATATGACTGATTTTTGAAGGCCAACGAACGTGTGGCGTATCAGGCAAAGTGGTTCATAGTCAACCAGTTAGATTATATACCGAAATGGCTCGCCCCGGACCTTATACATTCCACCGAAAATGCTCGAAGCACTATCGTGTGTGGGATGCACGTGCGATCCGAGGCCACCTTCCATTATTTCTACAACCGCTATTCGTGCCGCAATGAATGTTCACAAATGTGGTCACTTACGATTTGGGCTTGTGAAAAGTATTTGGTCGTAATAGTACGTTCGCACATACGCGCATACACACACAGGTTCAGATACGAAGATACGCGATTTCAATCCAGGGTCACATACCTCGCCGTCTGAGATAATGACCCGCTTTGGTATGCAAAAGACGTTTGTTTGGTTGAATACCTGCTGATTCGGGATAACCGCAGAATGAATTATGTGGTTTCATTATGTCACGTACAGTTCTAAAACAATGTCAATTCGTTACTTGCTATTGAAGCATGGAATTCGAAGAAGAACATTTGCCCAATGATTAGTAGAATTTTAGTAGGATGACAAAATGAGCACATTTATGTAACAGTTTCCACCTACCGTATACTACCGAATATAAACCGGCAGTATAACTGCAATATCGAATCTGTCCAAAGTGGCAAGTCACCCGACCCCCCAAAATGCCAACCAAAAAGAAACGAACTTGCTTCATGATTTTGACGTCTACAGAAATGAAAAACCGTCCAAAATCATCGGTTTATATTCAGTAATATACGGTACTTTTCTGTTATTCTTGTATACGGCATCCGTCATGAAAAACTCCCCTACACTGAAAGCTGCCAAGATAAGCTTCGAACACGTTTAGAGGCCGTGTTGTAACGTTCAGATACGAGGTGTGTTCAAAAAGAAGACGAAATTTTGAAATAGCGCGCCAACCATCAGGGGGAGAGCGCTGCGGCTACTTAGGCCATATGGAGGCTTGTGTAGACAACAAATTGTCATTTGCCGCATTTTTCTACAGTCGCTGAAAGGAGCACCTGGACAAAGTGTTCTTCGGACTAATGCCAAAAAGACATTGACAGAGGTTGTAAAACATGTGTGAAATTTTGCTACAAACATGGTAAAACGTTTACATAGACACTTCAATTGCTTAGCCAAACATACGGAGAGAACTGTATTACTCGTACGTAGTGTTATAAGTGGTTTCAGTGTTTTGAACACGGCAGAATGTCCGTCGGAGACGATCGCAAGCCTGGATGACATTTCACCTCAACAGACAATGACCATATCGATAGAGTTTGTGCTGTGATCCGTGAAAATCGTTGTATAACTGTTCTGGAAGTTGTTGACGAAGTGGGCATCAGCGAGGATCTGGCCATCACATTTTGTGTGACAGACTTGATATGTGCAGTTTTAGTGCAAAATTTGTGCCACGTCTGTTGACTGACAACTGGAAGAGGAGCCGTGTTGAAACCAGGCAGGTACTGCTTGCCGCTGTCATTGACAAGGTCCGTAAGAATATCCCAATAGGCGTTGAGAAGTGGGTTGATGGCTACGATATTGAAACGGAGGTGTAGTCGGCGCAGTGGATGGGGAAAGGGTCACCTTGTCCAAAAAGCACGCTAGAATCGGTCAACTATCAAGGTGATGTTTCTTTTGCTTTTTCATTGCAAAGGTGTTGTCCATCAGAAATTTGTACCACGTGGTCAGTTGGTAAACAAAATAGCATACCTGGGAATTCCAGCACGTTTGAAGGATGCTGTGCGTAGGAAGATGCCTGAACTGTGGGAAAACTAGACTTGGATATTGCATCATGACAATGTGCCGGCTCAGACATCGCTCCATTTCCGCGGCTATCTAGCAAAACATCACACTCCCGTTGTGCCCCATCCACTGTATTATTCGGACCTAGCCCTAGCAGACTTCTTGTTTCCCAAACTTAAAACCACGTTGGAAGAACGTTCTTGCCAAACCATAGAGGACATCCAGGACAATGCAACACGAGACCTGCGCGCCATCTCAGAAAGTGCGTTCCAGGGGGCTTTCTAAAAATGGAAGCACCGGTGGGAACCGTTTATTGCCAGTACACAGGACTATTTCGAAAGGGAAGGTGATTAAAATGTTGCGCCATGAGCAATAAAGACGTTATAGCAGAAGTTCGTTTTTTTTGAACAGACCACGTAGTCCGATATCACATTAACCCAGACACAAACACGAAGTGATAAGCACATGGTAAGTGAATTAAATTACGTGAAAGTCACTTTTTGGTGCAGTAATGTGAAAAATCGTACTCCAGATCAAGGTAGAAAGCTATTATGAAGGTGATAAAGGGGTTCATCAAACGATCAGCTGGTCGCTGGTGGCTTGAAACTCCACCAACCTTTGCCGTAACGGCATTCCACATTGCCACCGTAACTATCAATATGTCAACTCAGTGATCGTAGCTTTGTTGAAACGAGGCATCTGATGGAAAGTAGAACGCATCTGGTCACTGCGTAAAGTCTCCATGATGAAGCATAGCCAAAAAGTTGTGATTATGGCAGTTGTATTATTAGCGAGAGAACGGTGTGGAAGTGCCAGTACACCATGTCACATGCAAGCTTTTACCGGATAGGAAATATACCTATTATTATTATTATTCATGGATAAGCAACAACTGGAAATTTTCCGTTAAAAAGGATGAGTATGTCAAGCTGCGTACATTAGCTGAGCAGACCATTAGCTGGCTAACTGCGTGGTGACATGCGATGTTGAGCACCCATTTCTTATTGTGTATTGTCGCTATGAAGTCAGTCGCCTCTCTACCCAACCCTCGGTAGCTGGGGCCTCGGACAGAGCGGAATTTCTGCATTCCGAACAAGTATGTGTACAGACGCACAACATGAAGGTGCGCGCTATACGCATGTGGACAAACGACGAAAGCGAACACACTCGGATAAGCATGTGCACCAGCGCCACGTGATCGGATCGATACAGACATAGTTTTCTGCCCTGTCGAAAGGTCGACTCTAGAGGAATGCAAGGTTTCTGCAACGAAGTGCGCAAACTACCTGAATGCACTTCGACGGTTGAAAAGCATGACTTACGTCCGGGTAGTCAAAACTGAGGCGTATTCCACATTGGAGAAACGTTTTCTTATGCCATGCCGCAGTAAACAAGATTAAAGCGACGTTGTCACGTTCGGACCCAGCCGGCGATGTGTGCGTGGAT